TAAGCCAAAGGAAGGAAATACTAAAGATCAGAGCAGAAATAAGTGACATAGATTCAAAAAACAAAACAATACAAAAGATCAACGAAACCAAGAGCTGGTTCATTGAAAGGATAAACAAGATCAGTGAACCTCCAGGCTCACCAAGAAACTAAGGAAGAGGACCCAAATAAACAAAATCAGAAATGAAAGAGGTAAAGTAACAACCAACCCCACAGACATACAAAGGATTGTAAATAAATACTACGAACAACTCTACTCCAACAAACTGAACAACCTCAACGAAATGGACATATTCCTACAAAAATAAAAGCTTCCAAAACTCAATCAGGAAGAATAAAAAAAACCTGAATAGCTAATAACTACAGATGAAATTGAAACAGTAATTAAAAAACTTCCAACAAACAAAAGCCCTGGACCAGATGGCTTCATGGGGGAATTTTACCAAATATTCAAAGAAGAACTAAAATCTATCCTTCTCAGACTATTCTAAAATATTCAAGAGGAAGGCACACTTCCAAGTTCTTTCTATGAAGCCAGCATTATCCTAATCCCCAAACCAGATAAGGACACTACAAAGAAAGAGAATTACAAGCCAATACCCCTGATGAACATAGATGCTAAAATCAAAAAAATTCTAGCAAATTGGACCCAGCAATACATTAGAAAGATCATACACCATGACTAAGTGGGATTTATTCCAGGGATGCTAGGCTGGTACAATATCCCCAAAACAATAAATGTGATGCATCACATAAACAAATTGAGAGACAAAAATCATATAGTCATATCGATTGATGCAGAAAAAGCATTTGACAAAATCCAGCACCCTTTCCAGATAAAAACTCTCAGCAAAATGGGAATAGAGGGATCATGCCTCAATGTAATAAAAGCCTTATATGATAAACCTACAGCCAACATATTCAATGGGCAAAAACTAAAACCATTTCCCCTAAGAACAGGAACAAGACAGGGATGCCCACTCCTGTTCAACATAGTACTGGAAGTGCTAGCCATAGCGATTAGACAAGAAGAAGAAATAAAAGGCATCCAAATTGGAAAAGAAGAAGTAACATTGTCATTATTCGCAGATGACATGATATTGTACATAAAAAACCCTAAAGATTCCATCAAAAAACTACTAGATTTAATAAATGAATTTGGCAATGTAGAAGGATACAAAATTAACACCCAGAAACCTATGGCCTTTTTATACACCAATAATGAACTCACAGAAAGAGAAACTAAAAAAATCCAATTTACCATTGCAACAAAAAAATTAAGATACCTAAGAATGAATTTAACCAAGGAGGTAAAGGACCTGTACTCAGAAAATGACAGGATGCTGAAAAAAGCAATAGAGGAAGACATAAACAAGTGGAAGAATATACCATGTTGCCCTAGCCAGTTTGGCTCAGTGGATAGAGTGTCGGCCTGCAGACTGAAGGGTCCCAGGTTCGATTTTAGTCAAGGGCATGTACCTTGGTTGCAGGCACATCCCCAGTAGGGGGTGTGCAGCAGGAGGCAGCTGATCGATGTTTCTCTCTCATCAATGTTTCTAACTCTCTATCCCTCGCCCTTCCTCTCTGTAAAAAAAAAATCAATAAAAATAAAAAAAGAATATACCGTGTTCATGGATTGGTAGAATCAACATCATTAAAATGTCCATACTGCCCAAAGCAATCTATCTATACATTCAATGCAATCCCCATTAAAATACCAACGGCATATTTCAAAGACCTAGAACAAACTCTCCAAAAATTCATCTGGAATAAAAAAAGACCCCGAAAAGCTGCAGCAATCTTGAGAAAAAAGAACAATGTTGGAGGGATCACAATACCAGATATCAAGCTATATTACAATGCCACTGTTCTCAAAACTGCCTGGTACTGGCACATGAACAGACCTATAGACCAATGGAACAGAACAGGGAACCCAGAAATCAACCCAAGCCATTATGCTCAATTAATATTTGACAGAGGAGGCAAGAGCATACAATGGAGTCAAGACAGTCTCTTCAATAAATGGTGCTGGGAAAACTGGACAGATACTTGCAAAAAAATGAAACTAGACCACCAACTTACACCATACACAAAAACAAACTCAAAACGGATAAAGGACTTTAACGTAAGATGAGAAACCATAAAAATCTTAGGAGAATCCATAGTCAGCAAAATAGCAGACATATGTTGTAGCAATATCTTTACCGATACAGCTCCTAGGGCAATGGAAACTAAAGAGAAAATAAACAAATGGGACAACATCAAAATAAAAAGCTTCTGCACAGCAAAAGAAACCATCAACAAAACAATTAAGAAAGCCCACTGCATGGGAGAACATATTTGCCAATGTTATCTCCGATAAGGGTTTAATCTCCAAAATTTATAGGGAGCTCATACCACTTAACAAAAGGAAGATAAACAATTCAATCAAATAATGGGCAAAGGATCTAAATAGACACTTTTCGAAAGGACATACAGAAGGCCAAGAGACATATGAAAACATTAGCTCAAAGTCACTAATCATTCGAGAGATGCAAATCAAAACGACAATGCGGTACCATCTCACACCTGTCAGAATGGCTGCCATCAGCAAATCAACAAATGACAAGTGCTGGCTAGGATGTGGAGAAAAAGGAACCCTTGTGCACTGCTGGTCGGAATGCAGACTGGTGAGGCCACTGTGGAGAACAGTATGGAGTTTCCTCAAAAAACTAAAAATGGAACTCCCATTTGACCCAGTGATCCCACTTCTAGGAATATATCCCAAGAAAACAGAAACACTAATCAGAAAGGATATTTGCACCCCTATGTTCATAGCAGCACAATTTACAATAGCTAAGATTTGGAAACAGCCTAAGTGCCCATCAGCAGATGAGTAGATTAGAACAGTGGTTGGCAACTGCTGGATTAGAAAACTGTGGCACATCTACACAATGGAATACTATGCTGCTGTAAAATAGGAATTCTTAGCATTTGCAACAGCATGGATGGAATAGGAGAGCATTATGTTAAGTGAAATAAGCCAGTTAGAGAAAGATAAACATCACATGATCCCACTCATTTGTGGAATATAATCAACATCCAAAACTGATGAATAAAAATAGATACAGAGACAAAGAAGCATTGAACAGACTCAAACTTCAGCAGGAAAGCTGGGGAGAGTTTTGGGGGGAGGGGTAAGAGATCAACCAAATGACTTGTATGCATGCATATAAGCATAACGAATGGACAAAAGAATAAATAAATAAATTAAAAAAAAGAATCTAGAGTGGACCCATTTCTGTGACCTACTGTGGTGTTCCCCTGTGGTAGGACTGCACTGGTGACTGCCATAGAGCACAGGAAGGGGTCATGTCCCCTAGTGCCATAAATATCATTTTAATACTGAGAGCCCTTTGAACACCTTATAGCAGCATACAGAGTGTTTTGTTTCACTTGTTGGACTCACTGACTGTTCATTGTCATTCTCTTGGGCTCCTCTGGTGGGTACTTAGTGCTTGGAAGTTTTGACAAACCAGTAGCAGAAAGGAAAACTTCATGAGGTTTATGATTACAGCTCAGGACACCTTTGAGCTGTCAGCACTTTTAAAGCTTTCAGTGACTGAACTTGGGTATTCTCTTTAATAGAAATATGAACTGCCACATAACAATTGAGTAATACCCAGGTGTTGACAGCAAAATGGTATTTCAGTGATCTTTTCTTCATCGCAGCTATACTGGCCTCAAAAACTGACCAATTTAGAATTGTGTAGTAAGTAGTAGGGTAACTGCATAGTTACACACCTTGGTGTCTGCTCAGGTACTGGCAGAAGTGTCTTTTGTTTTAAAAAAAAGTCTATTGATTGATTTTAGAGAGAGAGAAACATCAATTTGTTCCACTTCTTTATGCATTCATTGATTGATGCTTGCATGTGCCCTGACCAGGGATTGAACCCGCTACCTCGGCATATCGGGATGATGCTCTAACCAACTGAGCTACCCGGCCAGGGCAGGAGCGTCTTTCTTAAAAACCCACTTCTTGACGGGAGAAGATTTTACTTTGGGTGGCATACATGCAACACACAGATCTTATAACATAGAAACCCTCACCTGAAATTTGTATGATCATATTAACCAATGTCACCCCAATAAATTTAATTTAAAAAGGGGGGGGAAGCCACTTCTTGTACCTTTGTTGTGTTTGTGTCCCAAACTTAGTCATGTGAGTTAAAGTACAGCTCCTGTTTGCCCTGTGGTTTTTCTCTTTGTTGCTTTGATTCATCTCAATTTACCTTCTCCTCACCTACTTTTCTCTTTTATGAGTCCTTCAGAGTTTTAACTTCCTTCCCAGTTTTTTGTTTTTTACTGTTTGTGTGAATCAATGTCCGTTCTTTCCTCATGGTTTTTCATTCTCAGTTTTGTCCATTTTGCTCTCTTTGTGCCTTTAGGTACCCTTTCCTTTAGATCAGAAATTTTATTTGTATTCTGTGTGAAATCTCACATCCCATTTCAAAGAACAGAGCAGAGTCCTTCAGGGCTGACTGCTCTGTGTGGTTGGGTTTGGGAGAGCAAAGGACAGGTGGTGGGTTTGGCTGTCACCTGTTTCCCGAGGGGCTTCTGACTCCGAGGGGAGTCCTGCGCTGGCCTCCCCCCACACGGCGGCATCCCACACAGGTTCAGGGTGGCCAGGTGAGAAAGGTGATCTGCAGGAGGCTCTAGACCAGTGGTTCTCAACCTTCTGGCCCTTTAAATACAGTTTCTCATGTTGTGACCCAACCATAAAATTATTTTCGTTGCTACTTCATAACTGTAATGTTGCTACTGTTATGAATCGTAATGTAAATATCTGATATGCAGGATGGTCTTAGGCGACCCCTGTGAAAGGGTCGTTCGACTGCCAAAGGGGTCACGACCCACAGGTTGAGAACCACTGCTCTACACAGACACAGGTCACCTCCTTGATGGCTCTCACTAAGTCTTCACAGACCACTCAGTGATTATATTTTTGTTTCTTCCTATTAGACACCAGAGCCAGAACCAGAACCGCCCAGGGCCCCTGAGCTCAAGCAGGGGCTGTACGAGCTCTCAGCGAGCAACTTTGAGCTGCACGTCGCACAAGGTATGGCAGGCGGGTCTTGTGGGCGTTCACAGTGCGATGCACCCTCTCAGAAACACTGACCGTTTGCTACCCCTTCACTTGCTGGGCTTGTCCTTGCCACCTGAGGCCTCACAGAAAGCAGCATCTGGGACACTAACCAGTGAACTGCCACGCGGCCAAAACGGAAACCATCCCCATTTCTTCTGTATGGGCTGGAGTAGTTATGAATTTAAGTTCCCATAATTTTCGTTACAAACCCAGAGATGTTACTAACGAGTCTGATTTTAAAATTGGGCGACCAGAGTCGATATGCGAGGTTTGCGGCTATAGACGTGCGTGACGTGTGGGGAAGGTCCGCCACTTGCGTCTATAGATGCTTATGGTATACAAAGGGTTAAGTAAGGATTTCTCTCTTCAGGGACCATTAGCATCATTGTTTAATGCTCTTCCCCTTGGAAATTCCTCCTTTGGTCTCTGTCCTTAAATCAGAGTTTTAATGCTAAGCTAAGGCCTTAGGTGAGGGAATTTGGAGCTCACAGATTGTGAGTGACACAATTCCTACACTAGCTGGACAGTGCATCCTTGAACAAGAAAGTGTGTTTATATTCACGTTAATCATATACTTATTGACCTGAGCCAGAAATAAAACTTTCTCTTACCTGCCCTGACCAGGTGGCTTAGTTAGTTGGAGCATTGCCCCCTGCACTGGAAGGTTGGGTTCGATCCCCGGTCAGGGCACATACCTAGGTTGTGGGTTTGATCCCCAATCGGGGTGTGTACAGAAGGCAACTGATCGAGGTATCTCTCTCACTTCAATGTTTCTTTCTCTGTCTCCCTCCCTCCCTCTCTAAAATCAGTTTTAGAAAAACCCCACAACTTTTTCTTACCTGTTTAAACTAGAATTTAGTTTATTTAGTGGAACTATTATAACATGTGAGTCAGAGTTCTTCACACTTAAAATCTTTTCTTAGACACATCTTGTTTTTGAAAGTGGGCTCCTAAATATGGAAATGATCTGTGTACAATTTCTGATGTTAATAATATAAGTCCTCCTTTCTTCACACATTTCAGAAGAGTTGGCTCAGCAGTGAATGACTCGCCAACTCCATTCTCAAATGCTGCCATGGAGAGAAATCCTCCCCTAAGACTGGGTTGGAAATGTTGTGAAAGGGGCTTAAAATCGCATCTGGCCTAGTGACTTTGTGCTGTGGGGAGTCAGCCCCCCACTCAGTGCTAAATTAGCTCCCCCCAACCCACTAAAGGTGAGAAGTAACTGGTGCCTTCAGCTGTTTCCACTTTCCTTGGAGATGGCTATTTGTGCCAGCCCCCTGACAGTGCAGCTTCGAGGGGTTTCCCTGCAGGGGGTTCACTTTAACCTGAGGCCAGCTTGGGCTCCCTGCAGGATGTGTTCCCCAAGTCACCTTGTTGGAGACCCTTTCCCGCAGCCAGCCTGGTCCCTCACTCTGCAAGCCATCGCTGCTGGCCTGAGGGTCTCCAGCCTCCGGTCTTGCACCTTCCCGGGGACACTCTGATGGGTCCTTGGGCGTCCTCTCCACCTCACCACCCAGTGTGAGCACCAGAGCTGTCTGGAGAGATGGGTTCAGCCTGGAAGCTAATTTGCTAATCTTTTGAAGCCAGTTTTTCACCATTTCCTTCAAACGCATCATTGCCATAGTGATGAGGCGCTGCTGTGAGCCAGGCCACAGTGTAGCATTCATTGGCTCGTTTTCTCCCTGGCCGCAGCCTGATTTCAGTTTGATCTCAGCCTGACATCTTTAGGCCCAGGATGGTCAAGGTAGCACAGCCTAGGAAAACATCTTTCATGACTAAATAATGAAGTTTGAGGATCTGATTTTTTCCTTCTAGTCAGGAGAGTAATATTCAGTTTTTTAAACCTACTTTATTGTGAAATAAAACACAGATACAGGAAACAAATGTAAGGCTTAGTGATTTGTTATAAAATGGTCACCCTGTAACCATTGTTCAGTTCAAGACAAGCCTCGCTGTCCCATCCCAGTCACAGCCCCCCGAGGAGGCGCTGTCCTGACTTTTATGGAAACTACTCCTTGCTTTTCTTTACGGTTTCATCACCCAAGTGTGTGCTCCTAGATGCTATAGTTTAGTTTGGTCTTTTAAAAATATTATCTCATTCAGTTCTGTTTAATCTACATGTACCCCAACATCTATTTTTCTTCCTAACATTCAGTTTGCTCACCACATAGGTGGTTTGACCTGTAGAGTCCCCATAGTGTGGCCTTCACTGACTGTCTCCCCACAGTGTGGCCTTCACTGACTGTACCCCATAGTGTGGTCTTCACTGACGGTACCCGCACAGTGTGGCCTTCACTGACTGTACTCGCACAGTGTGGCCTTCACTGACTGTCTCCCCACGGTGTGGCTTAATGTGTCCCTGATCTCTCTATTCCCTGTGAACTGCTACTTGGGTCGAGAGACATTAGCAGTTTCCGCTTGATGTTGGGGGTTGGGCACGACTTCATAGCTGCTGAGTCTCTCTGTGATGTCAGAGCCTAACAGTCACTGCCTAGAGGCGCTCATTTATTCTGGATACCAAATGCTGCTGCTCTAATTCAAGCATCCTGTCTCCATTTGTTGTTGTTAATCCTCACCCGAGGATGTTTTTCCATTGATTTTTTTTTTTTTTAGAGGAAGGGAGGGGGAGAGGTAGAGAGAGAGAAACATCGATGTGAAAGAGACACATCAATTGGTTGTCTCCCATAGGCATCCCGACTGGGGGCTGGGATTGAGTCTGCAACCGAGGTATGTGCCCTTGCTGGAATCGAACCCGAGACCCTTCCGTCTGAGGGCTGATGCTCTAACCCCTGAGCAACTGGCTAGGGCTTGCCTTTATTTTTTTACCAAGAGAAACTTGCCTGGCTTATCAGTTGGTTATACACGATAGGGTAAATCCTGATTCTTTCCCTTTATTTCCAGTTTTTCAAATAATAAGTTGGTTCCCTATTGTCTTCCAAAGGTGACAGATTAGTCTCTGCTTTGAGGATCGTTATGAACTCGTAGATGCAGACATTTTTGATGGAGAGTCACTTTTTACCAGTTAAACGGTTCATCCTGGACTGAACTTTGCAAGAGGACAAAAATGAGAGGCTTCCATTCCATCTCTGGTTAGGTGTCATGTAAATTACACTCCCTCTCCCCCTCTCTTTCCCGGCTCCCACGGAAGGCAACCACTTCATCAAGTTCTTCGCTCCATGGTGCGGTCACTGCAAAGCGCTGGCCCCGACCTGGGAGCAGCTGGCCCTGGGCCTCGAACATTCCGAAACCGTCAAGATTGGCAAGGTAAGCGAAGCCCTTATTAAACTGGAAATAGACCGCTTTGGCTGGATTAATTAGCAGAGGAGCCCATTATTCATCCTGTGTGCGAAGTCGCAGACTTGATTTATGATTTCCATTTAGTGTGCCCCTTGATCATTCATTTCACCTTCACAGATGGCAGCCTGGTTTCGAGTGTGCTGGCTTTTCCACAGCCCAGAGATAAATTATGACTTTGGCTCCTTTGTTTATTTTGAAGCGATGGCCAATTCAGAGTTGGCAGCCCCCAAGCCCTTTCTGCAAAGATAGGGGCAGCTCTTGGAGAATGTTCCCTGGACGTACTTGGACGCCGTCCACATTCGATCTCACCCAGGAGCTCTTTGCTGGAGGACCCTCCGAGCTCGCACAGGCACCCGGGGACCCTCCGTGGGGAGCCCAGCTGCTCTGCTGCCTGGAACTCCTCCCAGCTTTTCCCACTTTGCGCAGAGCAGCCAGGAGTGATGTCTAACAACTTCTGTGTAACTGGATTTTCTCAAAATATTAGCCACTTCTGCACCATCAGGCACTTTTAATCTCATCCATCCTCTGGCACCCAGCAGACCATCCCTGCCTGGGCTTCTGCTAATAAAAATCTCATTGTCTACATTGCCAGGGGCCAGTTTGTATACAGAAGTAACGCTGTGTCCAGGAACTATATTTAATAAGATAGTCTGCTCAACAGGGTGAGATGTCAGAAGCATAACTTTGGGCATCAGATAGACCTGGCTGGCCAACCTGGGCAACCTTACACCTCATTCTTCTCTCGGTGAGACTGATATGAGGTCTAACCGATAGTCCTGAGGGTGGGAGTGAAGAGCTTAGCACGGTGCTTGGCCCGGAGCAGTGGCTAGTACATTGTAATAGTTGTTGTTAGTTCAGTGTTGCCTGCAACACTTTCAATAATATGTCCTAGAATGTATGGGTGTGATTACGATTTTATATTTATTGAACATTTCATGGAAGTCACTATAAAGCAATCTTCTTGTCCTCTGTCTTCCTATGCCTTGTATCCTTACTCTGTGTTTTGAACTTTGATGGGAGATTATTTTGTTCTCAGTTTATGCCACTAGAGCAGACACAGTCTAAGTGACTGTGCTGTGGTCCTTCATCCCTGGGCGTACGTGTGCCTGGGTAAGACTGGGCTCAGAGCACGCACCCCGCCCGATTTCAGTCTGCAGCGTCCTGTGCTTCAGTCCAGCACTTTTAACTGCTCTCTGATTTCAGTTCTTTGTTAACGTAGCATTTCCAGCTGCCTTTATCAACACAGTGAGGAACAACTTGGTCCCACAAGCTGATTTTAATACCAGTAGAAACGAAAGAAGTGACTTAGGATAAAATGTTTCATGAAAATGTTGAAAAGGAGAATCTTATGAACATTTAAATGACATAAAAAATCTGAAGAGCTGTGATAGTTGGTAAATTGAGTTTATAGAATTTGGGACATAGTCTAAATTTAATTGGACATCTTTTCAGTTTTATCTTTATCATATTCCAGGGACTTCTATTTGCAATTGACTACTTGCTCCTTTTTAATTTTAAAACTCCATAAGTTTGAACTGAGAATAAATGTATAAGCTGGCTGCCATTGTGACTGGTGGGCGTCCATCACCGACGCCAGGCCTGCCCCTCCCTTGGGGTCAGGCCAGGCTGCCCTTCTCCACTGATGAACCTGCCCAAGGTATTGCTCTCTAAAAGTGCTGTTTTCAGTGAGCAACGTCACTCATGTCTCTAAAGTGAACGTGGTCATCCTGCTCGCTTGGCGCGGGTGTCTTTGGGGCCACGTCTGCAGGGAAGGCCGCAGAAACGGCAGCCTGCTGGCCCGGTGGCTGCAGGTCAGGGGCATTAGAATTTTTCTTTTTAAAGAAACCCCGAGGGCCACAGTCATTTTTGTCAGGAAGGCTCACAGGTGCTGACTGGACGGTGGTCTTGCCTTGCAGGTGGACTGCACGCAGCACCACGAGCTCTGCTCCGGGAACCAGGTCCGAGGCTATCCCACGCTCCTCTGGTTCCAGGATGGCAAAAAGGTGCGTATTTGGGTCTTAGCCACAGTGGGCTGAGCTGTCGGGTGCTTAACAGGCTTGCGGATTGCCAGAATGGACGGTTTGGGCACCGGTTTAAAGGATACATGTAATGGAACAAAAATGCCTTTCTCTTAACTGATAAGATTTGGGTAGTGGAGAAAAACTGCCAGTTGTTATACTATTTTGAAACCTTTCATTTGGCTCAGGTGGTTACTAGAGTAACCCAAATCCACCGTCTTGGGTAACTGAGCTCTGGCCGTGGCCTCTGAGCAGGGTCCATGTGCCCTCGGTAAGGTTCCCGTCCCCGTCCCAGCTGGTGGGCAGCCTTGCAGAGCGCCTGTGGCGGCAGCCCAGGCTGTGCTTCGCAGCTCTGCAGAGGAAGGGGCTGTAAAGCTCTCACCAAAGCCAACCCCTCGGCTTATCATCCGCGCTCTCCCATTTAGATCCGAGCCTGCAGGCACCGCACACACAGCTCACACAACCAGGGGAAGGCATCTGACGGCAGGGTCCCGGTGGGCGAGGGCTCGCAGGAGGTTTGAGTGGCTCAAGCACTTCAGTGTACTAACTCGGCCGTGTTTCTGTGTGGCCCTTATCTGGACAGGTGGACCAGTACAAGGGAAAGCGGGATCTGGACTCGCTGAGAGAGTATGTGGAACTGCAGCTCCAGAGTGCAGACCACGGCACCCCAGAGGCCACCCCACCCCCGGAGGCCCCAGTGGGTGCTGCAGAGCCTGAGGCCGACAAGGTGGGTGCCCGCCCAGCACCGCCCACAGAGGGCGTTCTCTGGTGCTGGGGACACAGGACATGTGAGGACAGACAGTACTGAGCCATTCAGATGGCTGGTTACAGCTGACTTTTCAACACAAAACATCTTCTCTGACTATGTGTACATGTTTGTAAGGGGCAAACGGCAACATGGATGTGAGGAAAATCCCGAGATGGAGTCGAGATCTCTGGGAACTTCCTCCCTTTGATTCACTTATCACTGTACTTGAGGGTATTCGCTCTGAAAGCTTGTCTGCTGCCTCGTGGGCCCACTGTCTGTTCATTTCCACAACGTGCTGCAGGCATCTTACTGTAGCCTGCGGCTTATAAAGGCCATGAACGCTGGGTAGCAGGATAGCTGTGTGCTGGAATTGAAGGCGGGTGGCTGGAGGACATGAATTTGCTTAGACAGTGTCTGACTCACTGAGGGCATCTTCATTCTCAGGCTTTAGGGTCATTTGTTCTGTGATTATCAAGCCCTTGTTATGTTTCAGGCACTGTCCTGGGCCACCAGGAAGCAAAAGCAAGACCATGCCCCTGCCCGTGCCGAGCCGTGGGTCTAGTGGGGGCGCATGAGAGCACATGCATGCAGATGTCCCAGGGGCTCTGAGAGTGTGCAGGGCTGGCCGGTCACTGTGTGAGAGGAGGGGGCCACCAGTTTTCAAGGTGTCGCTTTTCAAGGCTGTGTGGTGATAACTGTGGACAGTGTATCAGTCTGGAGCTAAAGCAGGCCGTCCGCACTACGTCTATGTGTCTGGAGCTTTAGGTAGAAGCTATTGCTGGAGTTATGGGTTAGAATGAGATTTAAGGCAACTCAAAATTTTCCAGGAAAACAATGCTTGGATTTCCTAGCAAAGAGCAATAAGGCCTGTTTGTCAATATATTTCCAAAGCAGAATACTTAATGTTGCTACTTCAGTTCACACAACTGTACTTCATAGCATGGCAGGTCTTACCTGGGACGCGGGGGTGCCCGTGCTCCCGGGGAGAGGGCAGCGAGCCAGATGTGCCTGAATGCTCCCCGGTAACCCTCCAGCCCTCAGCATTTACAGCAGAGGTCATGGCGCGCTGGAGCCATCTGTCCCTGGGCCCCAGTTGTTTGGAATTGAAAAAAGCCAGTGGAAACCCCTCCCCATCCTCTCAGGGTTGGGGAGAAGGGGCCTCTTCGTCCCCACAGCCCATCCCTTAGTTGGACTCTTGCAGGTTGGGTGTTAGTTAAAAGTTGAAGTTTTGGTTTAAGAAGTAAACAAATGATTTTGTAGTTGTTATGACCACATATGTTAGAGGAGTGTGTGTGTCATGGTGGTTAGAAAGGTCATCCCAAATTGAGTATAATTATATACTATGGATGTTTTCATCAAACACAGAGCGGCTTCTATTTATAATGAAGTTTTCCACCATTAAGTGGGCCTTTCAGTGAGTGTGGCGTCCTGTTTCTGGACATAAAGAAAGATGGCAGTGTTCTACAATGCCCCTGGCACTCGGCGCCTCCCGTCACCGACAGGCTTACTTGAGGCCAGACTCAAGCGGCGCAGCCCTGGTACCTTCCGCCACATGATAAATCACCCATATTCCTGCTCTCCTGAGAGGATCGCAGATGTATTTTTGGAGAAACAGGAGACGTGGTCCTCTAAAGAGCTGTCACGGTAGAGTCACTTTGGAGCAGACTGCACCGTGCAGCCGGAGCTCAGAGGGGCAGCTTTTACATTTACTTTGAATTTAAAAATGGAAAGAAGCCTGTTATAGGTAAAGCACATCATTGCCTGTGCTTTTGTAACTGTTTGTAAGGTCCCTCTGTGACATAGAGGAAGTCATTTTTATGAATCCCTGTGATAGAGAGTGTCGAGTCAGTGAGAGGAGTCACGGGTACAGACTTCAGGAGGCCCAGTAAGGGGTGTCTGGGCTCTGGTCAGCGTGGGAGGCTCCGAGGCAGGGAGGTCTGATTCAAGCCCTGTCCACCTAAAGCTGACTGGTCCACACTCCCGAGCCCTGGGGGACAGCAGCTGCCCCTCACCCACCCTGGGCTGGGGCGGGGGAGGAAGGGAGCGAGTGCTGCACTGTCCTGCCACCTCCTCGAAGCGTCTCGTGGGCTCAGGATCCATGGACCTGTGATGAATCTCTGCCCTTCAGAGGCCACTGCTCTACCCTTTTTTGTCGTTTGTGAAATGCAAGTTGTGTAGGTAGTTTTGTGTGACCTTGGAGTAGGCATAACCATTCAGAATTATTGATTTGTCCTTCTGCAATCCCAAAGCATTATCCCCTGTGCTGTAAGTGATGTATTTCACTGTGGCTTTTCCATCCCTGAAGGGCGCTGTGTTGGCACTCACGGAAAACAACTTTGATGACACCATTGCAGAAGGAATAACCTTCATCAAGTTTTATGCTCCATGGTAAGTGGCTCCTTAATTAGAAACTACTTTTCCTCGTGCACTTCAGTCCCTTTGTATTTTTCAGCTCATTAGCCAACCCTCCAGGCTCATCCTGGGGCTCTGTTGTAGGAAATAAGGAAATGTTATCTTTATGCTCCTGTGTTCAGGTATGTTCCAGTTTGGTGGTATTCATGACCATTTATGGAAAATTGGGTTAATTTATTTTATAGTTTGGTCTGCTTTTCAGAAAACATAATGGAGGAGAACTATGGTGGTCATATAGGACTTAAGTTGTGGTGCCTGTGTGCTTCACCAAATAGATGGCTTGTTTTGGTTATATAACCCATGAACATCTTGATGTACTTCTGCTCCTTAGTCTATTTTATTTATTTATTTTAAATTCTTTGTTGTTGAAAGTTTTACATATGTCTCCTTTTCCCCCATTGACCTTCCCCCGCCCCCACTCCCTGTTGTCTCTGTCCATTGGTCATGCTCATATGCATGGATACAAGTCCTCTCTTTGAGATGCCATAGAGAAACCCAGCTGAAATCAGAGCCTTTCCTGCCACACGGTGCTCAGGGACCAGGCAGACAGGGACTGTGCACGGGTTTGGGAACAAGGCACCTGTGTGGGGGGAGGACGAGAGGCCCAGAACTTCCCTGAACTACTGTAGCTCTGGGTGTTCTTTAATTCCTTGAAACGTAGCAGTAAAACTGAAGGAAATGAAACACTGCGTTTGGGAATGCAGGGTGCTGGGAGTGTCCGTTCCGTATTTAAAAGCAGACAGGAAAGGTCACCACATGCCATTTTGCTATTTAGTTTGTTTCATTTCGGATATTCGTGAAAAACCATAATAGCAGAGATAAAAGTTAATGAGCCCTGCCTGGTTGGCTCTATTGGTTGGAGTGTTGTCTGGGCACTGAAGGGTCTCAGGTTCAATTCCTGGTCAGGGCACATACTTAGGTTGAGGGTTCGATCCCCAGTCGGGTGGATATGGGAGACAGCGGATTGATGTTTCTGACATCCATGTTTCTCTCTCACCCTCTCCCTTCCTCTCTAAAATCAGTAAAAATATATATATATAGCCTCAGATGAGGATAAAAAAGAAAAGGTTTTGAGCACATGACTTGCATGAGTTGTGCTGTTTTAATTCTTAAAAAATAGAAACGCTAGCCCAAGCCTGTTTGGCTCAGTGGATAGAGCATTGGCCTGCGGACTGAAGGGTCCCAGGCTCAATTCCGGTCAGGGGCACATGCCTGGGTTGCTGGCTCGATGATTCTCTCTTATCATTGATGTTTCTATCTCTCTCCCTCTCTTTTCCTCTCTGAAGTCAATAAAAATCCCTCTCCTTTCCTCTCTGAAGTCAATAAAAATGTTATATATATAAAAAAAGAAACACTAGTAAATAATGCCTTTAAAACTATTTTCTATTTTTAAAAAAAATATATTTTATCGATTTTCTACAGAGAGGAAGGGAGAGGGACAGAGAGTTAGAAACATCGATGAGAGAGAAACACCGATCAGCTGCCTCCTGCACACCCCCTACTGGGGATGTGCCCGCAACCAAGGTACATGCCCTTGACCGAAATCAAACCTGGGACCCTTGAGTCCGCAGGCCGATGCTCTATCCACTGAGCCAAACCGGTTAGGGCAATTTTCTATTTAAAAAAAAAAGAAAGCTATATAGATCAAATTTGAAGACAGCGGATCCCCTTTTATTGCAGGGGAGCAGTCCTTGTAGTCAGAAAAGGGACACAGGAGTTTTGAATGATTTAGTGCTCACACCACATCACCGAAGCTTGAGGGGAGCTGTGAGGTTGTTTTGAAATGTTGAGACCATAAGCAGTCAAATCTAAAATGTTTTTAGCGTTCAAGTGATTAAAAAAGCAACGACGTTTGGAGTCCATTTTGTTTCCTGTTCGTTTCCTCCTGTTCACGATGCTCGTAAACCAGTTGACCTGATGTACGGATCAGGGACCTGGTTTCAAAACCCAGACTTGTTTTCACACCAGCTTGTTTCCATCGGGTTACCCAGGAGTCTGCTTCAGATGGACTTTGCCATCTTTGTTTAGGAGGAGGAGGAAGAGAATGGGAGAATTTGGTGTTTTATAAACTTCTAGGCCATTGTTGACAGCCTCATAGAAAAACAAGGCTTGGCAGCGAAATGTCGGTGAGGGACCTGGACCTGGGACTTCAACAAAGCGGTCATTATTCCATTTCTAGGTGTGGCCACTGTAAGAATCTGGCTCCTACCTGGGAAGAGCTCTCTAAAAGGGAATTCCCTGGCTTGGCAGAGGTCAAGGTCGCCGAAGTGGACTGTACTGCTGAGCGCAACATCTGCAGCAAGTACTCGGTGGGTACCTGTGGGTGAAAACTCTTCTGGGGACGCTGAGCATCGGAGCTGGAATGTGGTATTGTTGTCTCAACCAAGATAACGCACTGCCCTCCTCCCTCAACAAAGTGCGATGTCTGTGTCCTTTTGAGATGTTTTGATTTTTTACTTTGAAAAGGAAGAGATGCTCTGAGAGAAAGGCTTTCTCCCTCTGTTACACACACCTTCCGGGGGTGGGGCGGAGGGGGCGGGTCTCGGCCTTGCTTCTGGGCAGTAACTGAGACTCCACCCTGGGGAGCGGGGTACCCCTGAATGCACATTCTCACTGACAGTCAGCTGGCTCGTAGTCTTCATCAGAGATAACGAAGTGGCTTTTTATTTTTTTACATATGCCAGCGTTCTGAAGTCGATGGCTGAATAAGGCAACATTGGAACGTAGACTTCCTCCTGAGAGGGCATCCCCACCAGCCAGTCCTGCACTTGGATTGGTCCTTTAGCTGTTGCCTCCTTCCGAGCTGCTGGCACCGTCTAATAGCCTACACGATTTGTGATTTGTACTGTTCTTTCGGTTGCTTTCCTAAAATACTTTTGAGGCTTCTGATATTTATCACCTCATCAGATTGAGAATAGATAACATTTTTTTTTTATCATTGGAAAATGCAGGCATTTTTGTGTGCCTTAAAATTCTCAAAAGAGGAAAGAGGTGAGCTACAGCTGAAAAATATATCTCCTTGAGGGTTTCGCTGCTACTCCGTATAGCCTGGGCACCACGGGAAGCTGGTCATAAACGCAGCCTCAGGCCCCACGCTGACTCCACCCGGCCCAGGTGCGCATGCACCAGGCAAGGACTGGGAGGCTCCCTTTGACACTAATCGAGGATGTAATTTTGGATTGGAAGCTGAATAAATAGCCCCATGGCTTTGCTTGCTGAACTAGCTGGTACTTTTTAAATGGAAATTTAACCATAGACTTTCCTGGCCACAACAGGAGGTGTTTTTCTGGCTTTATTTAAGTAATTTGTGTATGATTCAGACCAGTTTTCAAACTGAATTTTCTCTTTACAGGTACGAGGCTACCCCACATTGTTGCTTTTCCGTGGAGGCAAGAGAGTCAGCGAGCACAATGGAGGCAGGGACATTGACTCGTTGCAATCCTTTGTGCTGCGCCAGGCGAAAGACGAACTATAAAAGCGCAGGTGAAGCCGCCCTCCTGCGGGCTCCTGGACTGAGTGGAGGAGCACGTCGTGCGGACCTCGGGGAGTTTCAGGTGGTAGTTCCTCAGAAAGCTGTCTGTACTGAACTTGTGGTATCTTCTGTGTGTGTTAAGCCAACACACTCTACAGAATTTTTATTACGTTTCTCTAAGTAAATATGATCCCTTTGCAAACTAAGTATTTTCAGTGGCAATCTATCATCCCCTTTAACCTTCTCTTGATGGAATCTAAATGGTTTCCTTTGAGACTAAAACAGAGTTGAGGAAAAGTGAATCGCTGGACTATTTTTGGCTCCTGAGTGATTCTGGTGAAAGCATCATCCAAAGCACAGTTTTGAACTGCCCACGAGTCTGGAAAGGTAGTTGCATGGCGTATTGTCATTCCTCTGATCTCAAGGTCACAGCTAATCATGTGGTTGGTCTGTATCTTGGAGGAGATTTAAAAACAAACCCCCGCACCTCTGGAAGGCGCCTTCCCAGCCACTCCTGGATTTTGTTTCTGTTAATACTTCTCTCATCGCGAGAGGTTTGCCATAACGAAAGCAGCGGTACTTTTGACGTGTGCCTGAGTAAGGTCGCGCTGATGCCATAATCTTATGTGTGTGTCGATATTTGTCAGATCAGTTATTACTGTTCAAGGGATACTTCTGTCTGTTTCTCCTGGGTGAAAGGTTTCATTAGTTATGTTAACATTAAGTCAGGTTCCACGTGAAGATTTTTAAGATTTTAAGTCCATGTTTAAGATTTGCTATCTCCCGTGGAAAATGTGGGCCTGGAAAGTTCCACGAGGTTTGTCCTGACTGTTCTGTTAACTCATAGAAAGATTCTGGTGGTATCTGTCACCTGGGGAAAAGGACTAGATGAGCAGGTCCGGTATCAGGGGCCAGGGGACTTCCGCAGCCCTGCTACAGGGCCCTAACAAAGCAGTTTTAGTTCTGCTCCTGGTTAGTCCTAGGCCAGGGGTGGGGAACGTCTGGCCCAAGGGCCGTATAAAGGCCTGAGAAATCATTTGGTCTGGCCCTGCCCAGGCATTAGGGGTGAATTAATTTAATGTTTGACCAGATATAGCAGGCTAATTTTTAAGTTGATAATTTTGTATGGCCTGTGAATGGTGTTATAAATAACCAAATGGCCCTTGGCAGAAAAAAAGGTTCCCCACCCCTGTTAAAGGCTCTGTACATCGACTGCCTTCATGGAGATTGCCCCTCTGCTGTCTGAGGAGTGGGAGGAGTGGGATTAACTTTACCTAAAGACCAAAGAATGAAGTAGGCGGGGCTGAGTAGGCTGTGCTACCATCAATGCTAATGCTCTTATAATTCATGCCTCTCTAGTTATTAAACATTTTTACCATCACCCTTGGAAATAACCATAGAACTAGGCTCCCTGTATGTTCTTTGCCATCAAGTTACCTTTCATAATAACCCCTCTGTCTACCACTCTCACCCCACCTCCCGTGCTTGGGGGAGCCAGTCACTTGACACAAAGTAACTGGTGGTAAGAATCTTAGACACAAGAAGCATCTGCTGTCTGCAGCAGATGACAACAGAGCAGGATCTCGACCAGCCTCTGCCTTAAGGAAATCTTTATTAATTGTGTGTGGATCACAGATGTTCTTGTTAAAAAACCAACTTTTCAGGAGAAGCACAATCCTCATGAGTGGCTTCCGCTTTGCATCACGAGTCTTGTATTGAAAGAAAATCAAAGTGGTACAATTTGTTTACACTCTGATACTTTCTAAATAAACTCTTTTTTTTAAAAAAAAAAAGTCTGGTCTTTCCTTAAATGTTACAGCAAAACAGATATAAAATAGACAATAAATTATAGTTTATATTTACAAAAAAGCTGTAAGTGCAAACAGTTATAGATCATACATGTATTATTTAATCAGTTTAATATGAAATTGGTTTCCTAGTATATGATTGTGAGAAAGACATTTAAAAAATATTCTAAAATTAATCTGAGTCTTACTTTCTACAAGAGAAAACTGATTTCGATTCATCAACAGCATGGCCATCCAAACCCATTCCTAAAGGCTAGTGCCCCTCGCTCAGTTTATGTCCTTTGTTGGTTCTCACCTGTGACACGGAATGCTGTACAGTAAAAGGGCAAGACCTGTTTTACTGAAGCAGATGAGATATGAGAGCCAGCGTTCCTGAAGTTACTGTGCTTTCAGAGCCGTTCCGAACAGGAGGAGGTGCAGCACTGCTTTCACCTGTCACCTGGGTGCCGTGGCGGCCACTGAGGATGCCCCACCCCATGGTCTCCTCAGAGCACCAGCCTTCTGCCGGTGGTGCTCGCAAAGGAAACCGCAAATGGGGGAGGACTGACGTGTGGAAATCACATGGTTTGTTTTAACTGAAATAATTCTATTTTCACACCAACAGAACGCCAGCACAAACAGGTAACAGCAGTTACTGGACAAAAGGCACTTCCACGGGGCCCTGATTATGGCTTGGGCTGTTGATCTTATATGAAATTGGCCTTCCTGGGAATGAAATCCTTGAATAGAGGCATTCCCCCCGCCCCCAATTTCTGTTAACTGTAAGATCTATTTTTGAGAAACATTCTAAATTGGCTGATACTTCAGCCAAGAATACTTATACTTTTTTAAAATTATTTTCCCTGTTTACTCAATAATACCACAAATAGCTTGATAGAAAGCTAAAACTAATTTTGGTGGGCTTTTATGGGGGAAGAGGAACCCCTCAAAGTTCTGTTTCTGCAATGTCCAGATTCCATACTACAGACATTCAAATAGCCTCCTACAGACCAACTACTCACGTTATTTACTACATGGGCAAATCATTACTGAGCCCCTTTAACGTCTTCCTTGGGCAGTAAGGCACCAACCGGCAAGAGATGGTTTCAAAGTCATCATCCCACTTTCACTGCGTCACTGTGCTGCTTAAGGCAGGTGTAAGCTAGGAGTCCAAGGCAGTACCTCTGGCCCCAGCAACTAGTTTCAAGTTAGTGGCATCCACAAGCTCTTACAACCATATTCCTGTATTTCTTCAAGATAACATTGGAGTTGTCATCAAAGTAAAGAACCGAGATGGCATTTAGTTTAGTTGGCGCACAGCACGGTTTAGGGACATACTCAGGATTCATAAGGTGAACCTGTTCCAAAACAGAAGGAGGAAATGGTTCCATCAGAAATGACCTGGTCTTGGCTGACGCCTACCTATGCAGTGACAAAAGGCTCTGAGAGCTCACCAGTGTCTGGACGATCGCATGGTTCGTGGCATTCATATGTGCGTTGAGTGGGAAGGAGCATTCTCCATCACAGTAATTGGCAGCATAGCCCTTGGGTGCAATGATCCAGTCCTTAATGTAAAAAAGCAAAAGCAAGCAACAAAGAGACGATGAACATACACTCTGTGCTCTCAGTAATCCTGTGAGAAAAATTACTCCCATGGACAGCTAAGGAGACAGATGCAGGAAGGTCAGTTTCACAGGCAGGTGGCAAAGCTGGGTATGAACCTGATGGTGTAACTCCAGAGCCCTTGCTCTTTCCACAGGCCCAAATGGCATTTAGCTGCTACCTGTCTGCCAAGCCTAGAAGCACATGGGGTTGGCTTTATGTACTTGGACTCAACAGAGCCTCTCCAGGAGCTTGGAGTACTCCCTGTCATGCCACCTGCATATGGAAACTATCTTCTGTCACATGTCATCTGTAATTTGCTTCTTATAAGCTGTGGTGACTCAGGTGTGGGGCAAAACCTTTGTGCTCTTCTAGATAGTTTGGGTGAGCTGATTTATAGCCATTGCAGAAGTTTAACTATTGATCCATTTTCCCAACCCTTTCTCAAAACAATTTGTTTAATTGGTAAATGTAAATACATACCCTGTGGACTTTGAAAGAATGAGGAAAGAGTATTGGAAAAGGTGGCTATTGATTTTGAGGTACACAGAGCTGGGGAACCCTGGGCTCCCTGGAAAGGTGCCAATAAGGGCTGTGTGCACACATAAGCCAGGCCTTCACCCACCTCACTCCAAGAGCCTGGGCATTTGGAAGGGCTCCTATGTACCTTCATGGGAAGAACCATCTCAGTCCTAAAGCTCAGGATCTTGGATGATGGCTGCTGCCATGAAGATGAGAAGGGCCCACTGAGAAAGGAACTTTGTCCCCCTTGTACCAAGAACTCACCTGCCATCCCAGGTCTTGGAAGCTCACATAAAGCTCATGCTTCCTGCAGGCTGTTTTTAACTCACTGCTGTTGTAATCTGTTGGAAAAGAAAAAACATTAACTCATTCATTCCCTCACCAGGCATTGTATTAGGCTCAGGATAGCAGTGCACAAGGCCTCGGCAAGACACAAATTTGGTCACCAAACAGCTCCATCAGGTTTCCAGTAGCTTGGGTGTTTTACACACTCTGTCTTGTCCACTCTGGGTTTAGTGCTGGGCACACTCGCAAACGATACATAATATTGACCTGAATGGAATCTTTTTTTTTTTTTTTGAGAGAGAGAGAACGACTTGTTGTTCCACTTATTTATGCATTCATTGGTTGATTCTTGTATGTGCCCTGACCAGGGATCGAACCCACAACCTTGGTATATTGGGACGATGCTCTAACCAGCTGAGCTACCTGGCCAGGGCTGAATGGAATCTTTTAAGCAACAGATGTTTGTTGTGCAAGGTCTATCACCTGTCATTTGCATTATATTTGTGCAAGGTCTATGAAGGGGGTGTTCCTATAATGAGCAGGCCCTGATCCGGAGGCCCAGGAGTCGGGGAGAGAGGGAGATGCTGCAGCAGAGGCCATCCTCATCGGCACTGTCCTCTGGCCTCTCTGCCAGGGTTGAGCCCTTTAACCTGCATTTAAGCAACAACTCCTAAGCCAGTAGTGCCAGTGAGATCTGCTGCTGTGTATATGCCCCCTGTGTGCAATTCAGGAGCTACCAGTCTGGCTTAACCTAATCATTGGCAAGAGGAATGGCAATGCCCTGATTCATTAGGCCAGTGGTCGGCAAACTGCAGCTCAGGAGCCACATGCGGCTCTTTGGCCCCTTGAGTGTGGCTCTTCCTAAGCCTTAGGAGTACCCTAATTAAGTTAATAACAATGTACCTACCTATATAGTTTAAGTTTAAAAAATTTGGCTCTTAAAAGAAATTTCAATCATTGTACTGTTGATATTTGGCTCTGTTGACTAATGAGTTTGCCGACCACTGCATTAGGCCAATTGTAGCGCTCTTGTGTGACATGCCCTTGGCTAGGCACATGGTAAAAAGGAAGATAGGTTAGACAACACTTTTGTCCTCCAGGAACTTAGAGAATCAAAAGGGTAGTGTGAGACATGTACAAGTTCAGGGTGGGAGTGAGAGGAAAGAGAGCAGTTCTATTGGAATGGGTTTAAAGATGTGAAGAGTCAATGGACATAATGTCAGCGAAACTTGATCTTGATTGACTTAGAACACTAACCAAACATTTGAATTTTCTACCAGAGGTATTAGGTAAATCTTTAAAAGTTTTGTTTTTTTGTGTCAGGGAGTGACACGTTCAGAGCTGGGATTCTAAAGGATAGATCTGATGATAGTGGTGTTTGAGAGTTCCAGAGAGGGGAGAGGGATGAAAGGTAAGAAGACTTTGGAGAAAAATTCTTAATCTACAATGAACTTTGATGAATACGAGAGCCTGGGGCCATTTGCATGCTACCTCTTTTTTTTATCACATGAGCCAATAAATTACCTGAATACTTAAAGTCTGTCTGAACTGAGTTTTCTGTTACTTGCACCCCTGGACCTCCTGGCCCTGAAGCAGAACTCAACATGCAGATTTCATGATTATGTAAGAGAAAGAGACGAACAGTACCAACACAGCCCAGCGACCTATCCTGGAAGGATAGACAGGCTATGTTCTGTAGTGGTTTCTAATTCTAAATTTATTCATTCTCCTCACCTGCCTTCTTCACCTCACAGAACCACCCTCGCTGTAACTTAAAGTACCTGGGAGAAGTGAATGCAAGACCACACTTTTTCACAAGGCAGGACACCATGGACTCTCTCAGTAAAAATAAGCACACACCACCACAAAACGACAAATTCCTCCTGTTGAAAATAATCTCTCAATGAAAAGAATTAACCACACAAAGAAATAAAGTATCCTGAGAGAGAGTTGGAGTGCAAGATAGAAAATATAGGATCCCAGAGATTCAGGCAAGAGTAGTCTCTGAATGTGGTTACAGAAAATGAATATCTAAAATGATGAAAGAGTTAAGAAACAGAACTGTAAAGCAAGATAATAGGGAAAAGAACAGGTGAATTTGAAACAGAGCCAAATAAAATTTTATAAAAACCACAATCATTGAAAACAACAAAAGGGATGAGCTAAACATCAGATTAGATATAACTGAAGTGAGAATTAAAGAATTGATCAATATTTGAAGAAACTTGCCAAACGTTATTTCTAGTAGAAATCTCTGAGGAGACTAATGAGAACTAATAGTTGAAGGCATAAATACCTGTGAATTTTCTAAAAAAGTATGCCTTTCTGAAAAAAGGCAAACTTCTTTAAATTGAGAAGGCACCAACGAGTCCTAAGCAAAGTAAGTAAATTCCTATCTAACCATATCTGGTGAAACTAGTATATCAAACACATAAATTCTTAAAAGCAACACTGAGATGAATAGAAAATTATCTACAAAGGAACACAAAGTAGATAGCAAATTTCTCAACAGAAATAGAGAACATAAAAAATATCAAAAACTATGCCATCAAACTAGAATTCCATACCTAGCTATAGAAGTCATCTATTGTTTGGCTACCCAGGTTCCAAGAACACTTATCATTTGGGGAAATTCCTAGATAGGTAGGAATCAAGGTCCCATTTCCAACCACAGATAGCTACTGTATTTGTCCCCTGGCAGTTAGAGTATAGCCTCCTGACTTCATCAACCCAATGCACCCACTTTTGAGAGAGTGACTCAAAGGGGAAACTAAGAATGGGTGACATGGCAGCAAGTGTTCAGGGTGCTGGCTCCAGTGATAGCATTCAAACCACAATGTCCCCATGACCAGGTCCAAGCTAGACCTTGATTTTGAGTTTGGTTCTCCAGCCTTGTTGGTTGGATGAGTTCCCTGATACATGTAAATTATTTTTCACTTTAAGTAAATTAGAGTTTGCTTCTATTCCAAGTAATCAAGAGCCCTGAGTAGCTAAATTATTATCCATAGAGAATAGGGAACACAGGGTGGAGTGGGACCATTATTTCATATAGGATTGGTGAGCTCATCCTTCTGTTGGAGTATCTCTTAAGCAGAGACCTGAAGGAACGTTGGGGGTGGGGCATGAGTCTATCTGAGGGAAGAATAATTCGTACAGCAGGAATGACAAATGTGAAGGCCCCGAGGAAGTACCCGCTTGGCATATTCCAGGAACATCTGATGGAGACTGCTATGTGTTTATTAAAAACCCATCTATCTACCCCTGGGGCACAGAGCTATTTGACATTCCCAACTGCAGTTAGGTGTGGCCATGTGGCTGAGTTCTGCCCATAAATGTGGAGAGAGGGGAGGTATGTCGCTCCCAGGCCTGGCCTCCTAAACTCACCTGCAGCCCTCCACTTGCTCTTTCTTCTCCTGCCAGCTACAGGCAAGAGTCAGTCTTCCAAAGACACCGTGGTCCTGGTCCTGTTGTACCCTTGAAGGTGTCCTATGTTAGATAAGTTATATGATCCCCCTACTTATAGTCTCAGCCTGGAATGTTCCCTGCCCAAACTCATTTGGACTGTGTCCCCCAACATAAACTTCCTCTAAAAGACCTTCTCTGTGCTGGGGACCAAGATCATCCCAAAATCAAGCCTGAAATTGTTAGCCATGTGAAAGGCAGGGATTTCTAGGCCAGCTTTCCTTCCCAGGTCAGTGAACAGGCAGTGAAATATAATAAAGAATATATCTGGTCTTGACAACAGCATGGATGGACCTGGAGAGCATTATGCTAAGCGAAATAAGCCAGTCAGAGAAGGATAAGTATCACATGATCTCACTCATTTGTGGGATACAATGAATAACATAAATTGATGAACAAAAATAGATTCAGAGACATAGAATCATTGAACAGACCGTCAAATCTCAGAGGGAAGGCGGGGTTGGGAGGTGGGGATGGGAGGGCAGTGTTGAGAGGGTAAGAGATCAACCAAAGAACTGGTATGCATATAAGCATAACCAATGGACACAGACAATGGGGAGGGGTGGCGGGGCAGGCTGAGAGAGGACAATGGGGGGAGGAACATATGTAATATTTTCAACAATAATTAAAAACAAAAGAATATATCTGGTCTTTGTCCTGGTTCCTGGCACAAAGCTATGAAAACCATGGAATTTCTTAATTGATAAATTCCAATATATGATGGTTCCTAGATAGCTTCAGGATAGGGGCTGGTCACCAGAAAGACTAACTACTTGATTAGAGGGTTGGGCCAGCCTGACCTCCATGGAGGGAGACTGGATAACATGGCCAGGGATTTAGTCAATCATGCATAGCAATGAGACCCACATAAAAACTCTGGACACTGAAGCTCTGTGGAACTTTGGGGTTGACAAACAGACTGGCATGCTGGGAGAGAGAACCTCCCAGGTTCCATGAGGAGAGGACATGGACCCCTCCTCTCCCTCCCCCTCCTTCCCCCCCGCTGGAGAGCTTGCTCTATGCAGCTCTTCCTCGTGTGCATCCTTTATAATAAAACTGTGATCCTAAGTACTAGGTGTACTGGTTAATAATGCGGATTTTTTTCAATAGATGGAGTTGCACATATGTTGATATATATGCGATTTGATATGTATGCTATTTTGTTGTAGTGACCAGCTTTAAAACTTCATATGTCAAATTTGCTGAAGTTGTTAACATCATAGATATTTTTACGCTTAAAAATGTCAAATTTCATGCCAAAAAAAGAGCATTTGTGGGAACTTTTAATTCATTACTTTATTTTGAAGAAAAGTGCTGCTGAATACTTCAGGAAGCTTATGGTGAACATGCTCCATCTCAAGATACTTGTGAATGCTGGTTTAAACGCTTTCAAAGTGATGATTTCTATGTGAAAGACAAAGAACGTCCAGGTCAACCGAAAAAGTTTGAAGACCAACAATTGCAAGCATTATTGGATGAAGATGCATGTCAAACTCAAAAACAACTTGCAGAAAGATTAAACGTTGCTCAGCAAACAATTCTGATAGTTTACAAGCAATGGGAAAGATTTTAAAGTAATTTTGCTTCATGATGA